GTAATCTTGACAATGTCTTTTGTAGAGAAAGATGTCCTCTAGCGTGAGTGACCTCATGGAGTATGTTCACTTTATCAGATGTCATTTGACATTCAAATGCATCAAATTTTGACAGATTAGTCTGTTTTAACCAGCCTTCCTGTCTAATGTGGAATGATCCCTGACTCTAGAGAATCAATTCACTATTACAGTGACATTTGCTGCCATCCAATGGTCAAATGGGGGAAGAGCCCTGACAATATAAAATCAATTCTCTAAATCTAGTGACATTTGCTGCCATCCAATGGTCAAATGGGGGAAGAGCCCTGACAATATAAAATCAATTCTCTAAATCTAGTGACATTTGCTGCCATCCAATGGTCAAATGGGGGAAGAGCCCTGACAATATAAAATCAACTCTCTAAATCTAGTGACATTTGCTGCCATCCAATGGTCAAATGGGGGAAAGAGCCCTGACAATATAAAATCAATTCTCTAAATCTAGTGACATTTGCTGCCATCCAATGGTCAAATGGGGGAAGAGCCCTGACAATATAAAATCAATTCTCTAAATCTAATGACATTTGCTGCCATCCAATGGTCAAATGGGGGAAGAGCCCTGACAATATAAAATCAATTCTCTAAATCTAATGACATTTGCTGCCATCCAATGGTCAAATGGGGGAAGAGCCCTGACAATATAAAATCAATTCTCTAAATCTAGTGACATTTGCTGCCATCCAATGGTCAAATGGGGGAAGAGCCCTGACAATATAAAATTAATTCTCTAAATCTAGTGACATTTGCTGCCATCCAATGGTCAAATGGGGGAAGAGCCCTGACAGTATTAAAATCAATTCTCTAAATCTAGTGACATTTTCTGCCATCCAATGGTCAAATGGGGGAAGAGCCCTGACAATATAAAATCAATTCTCTAAATCTAGTGACATTTGCTGCCATCCAATGGTCAAATGGGGGAAGAGCCCTGACAATATAAAATCAATTCTCTAAATCTAGTGACATTTGCTGCCATCCAATGGTCAAATGGGGAAGAGCCCTGACAATATAAAATCAATTCTCTAAATCTAGTGACATTTGCTGCCATCCAATGGTCAAATGGGGGAAGAGCCCTGACAATATAAAATCAATTCTCTAAATCTAGTGACATTTGCTGCCATCCAATGGTCAAATGGGGGAAGAGCCCTGACAATATAAAATCAATTCTCTAAATCTAGTGACATTTGCTGCCATCCAATGGTCAAATGGGGGAAGAGCCCTGACAATATAAAATCAATTCACTATTACAGTGACATTTGCTGCCATCCAATGGTCAAATGGGAGAAAATGCTTGAGTTGGTGTTCTCTGCCCAGGTGGTGGACATTCTGCCATTCCTCAGGAATGGCATCGGCATCCATCATGGAGGACTCCTGCCTCTCGTCAAGGAACTCATCGAACTTCTCTTCTCTGAGGGACTCATTAAGGTAAGGGACAATCCAGCATCATCTTTCCACACTTCTCTCTTAATTCTTGTAAATTTTAATGTCCATGTTTTTTTTTAATTATTTATCCCTAGTACACGTGGTACAAGCCATAATAACCATGGTAGGTAGAAGTAGGCGACTGCTTTTACTGTAAATGCACCACATGTCTACACATGTGAAAGCAGTTCAACTTTGCACTTACAAATGTACCAGAGCCCTGTTTGATTGCTTGCACTCCCTGGTGGGTTAGAACTTTTGCAAGAATTGGGGGCCATTGGAGCATTTTTTTTTTTTTTTTTTCAAATCAGAAAAAAGTGTCCAATGCAGGAATCGAACCCGGGTTGTAGCGGTCGAAAACCAATGATTTAGACCATCCTTCCACCGACCCCCCCCCCCCACTGTTCATGTACTTATACAAAGTCGGTGGACGAGTGGTTGAAACCCTCGATTCCCGACAGCCATGAACTGGGATTGAATCCCGCATGGACACTTTAATATGTGAATAACCTTCATATATTATTCATTGTTGTAAATATCATAAGCTAGGTTTCTCTCTTTGAGTGGTACCTGGTAAAGTTATTTTGGAACCAGATATGCTTAATACAGCTATGTTGGGTGTGTTATTGTAGGTCCTATTTGCCACAGAAACTTTTGCCATGGGGCTCAATATGCCTGCCAGGACAGTCCTGTTCACCTGCATGAAGAAGTACGACGGAGAGTCCTTCCGCTTTGTGAGTAAGCTGAGTGTAGGGAGAGAGACAAGGTATCAGTGGCTATGTGGGAGCAGGTGTTGCCGGGGGAGTTCATCCAGATGAGTGGGAGAGCCGGGAGGCGAGGATTGGACCAGAGAGGCACGGTCATCATCAACATTGACCAGGAGGTCTCTACCCCGGTGATACAGCACATCCTCCAGGTGGGTGGTAGCATCAGTGGATGATTCTTCTTTGGTTTATCTACTCTTCATCATTCACTGCTAACTGGCTATCCCAGCTTCTTTACTTGGATTCTGAGGCCATTCATTTACAGCCAACAGACTGTTCTATCTTCTTTACTTGGATTCTGAGGCCATCCATTCACAGCCAACAGACTGCCCCAGCTTCTTTACTTGGATTCTGAGGCCATCCATTCACAGCCAACAGGCTGTTTTATCTTCTTTACTTGAATTCTGAGGCCATTCATTCACAGCCAACAGACTGTTCTATCTTCTTTACTTGGATTCTGAGGCCATCCATTCACAGCCAACAGACTGCCCCAGCTTCTTTACTTGGATTCTGAGGCCATCCATTCACAGCCAACAGGCTGTTTTATCTTCTTTACTTGAATTCTGAGGCCATTTATTCACAGCCAACAGACTGCCCCAGCTTCTTTACTTGAATTCTGAGGCCATCCATTCACAGCCAACAGACTGCCCCAGCTTCTTTACTTGGATTCTGAGGCCATCCATTCACAGCCAACAGACTGTTCTATCTTCTTTACTTGGATTCTGAGGCCATTTATTCACTGCCAACAGACTGTTCCAGATTCTTTACTTGGATTCTGAGGACATCAATTCACTGTAAACAGGCTGTTCTATCTTCTTTAGTTGGATTCTGAGGCCATTCATTCACTGCAAACAGGCTGTTCTATCTTCTTTACTTGGATTCTGAGGCCATTCATTCACTGTAAACAGGCTGTTCTATCTTCTTTACTTGGATTCTGAGGCCATTCATTCACTGTAAACAGGCTGTTCTATCTTCTTTACTTGGATTCTGTGGCCATTCATTCACTGTAAACAGGCTGTTCTATATTTTTTACTTGGATTCTGTGGCTATTCATTCACTGTAAACAGGCTGTTCTATCTTCTTTACTTGGATTCTGAGGCCATTCATTCACTGTAAACAGGCTGTTCTATCTTCTTTACTTGGATTCTGAGGACATCAATTCACTGTAAACAGGCTGTTCTATCTTCTTTAGTTGGATTCTGAGGCCATTCATTCACTGCAAACAGGCTGTTCTATCTTCTTTACTTGGATTCTGAGGCCATTCATTCACTGTAAACAGGCTGTTCTATCTTCTTTACTTGGATTCTGAGGCCATTCATTCACTGTAAACAGGCTGTTCTATCTTCTTTACTTGGATTCTGTGGCCATTCATTCACTGTAAACAGGCTGTTCTATCTTCTTTACTTGGATTCTGAGGCCATTCATTCACTGTAAACAGGCTGTTCTATCTTCTTTACTTGGATTCTGTGGCCATTCATTCACTGTAAACAGGCTGTTCTATCTTCTTTACTTGGATTCTGAGGCCATTCATTCACGGCAAACAGGCTGTTCTATCTTCTTTACTTGGATTCTGAGGTCATTACTTCACTGTAAACAGGCTGTTCTATCTTCTTTACTTGGATTCTGAGACCATTTATTCACTGTAAACAGGCTGTTCTATCTTCTTTACTTGGATTCTGAGGCCATTTATTCACTGCTAACAGGCTGTCCCAGCTTCTTAATGCAGATTATCTCTCAACTTGATATATTTATTTGCATTATACTGATAACAATACTATTTAAAACATGCTGTGATATATTTTCTCATTCAGTACTTTTGTCTGATGATGGTAACGTCGCTGTTACCAAAACATCACACACTATTAATTTATTTGGATATGGTCTTATTACCTTGTGTTTATAATCTATAATCAAAATTATGCTGGGGGTCGGTGGAAGGCTGGTTAAACCGTTTGGTTTTCGACCACTAGGACCCGGGTTCGATTCCCGCATTGGACACTTTTTTCTGTTTAAAAAAAAAAAAAATGCTCGAATGGCCCCCGATTCCTGCAAAAGACCAACCCCACCAGCGAGTGCAAGTAACCAAACGGGGCTCAGGCACATTTGTAAGTGCTAAGTCGAACTGCTTTTCACATGTGTAGACATGTGGTGTACTTACAGTAAAAGCAGTCGCTAACTACCCACCATGATTATCATGGCCTGTACCACGTGTACTAGAGATAAGCAAAAAAAAATAATAATTATGCTTTATCATTATTATTTATGCATCAACATGTGGTGGAAACTATTGCTAACTACCCACCTTGATTGTTATACCCTGTACCCCGAGTACTAGGGATAAGTAAATAATACCCGGTGTATGTGCCAGGGCTCCCCAGACCCCCTGAACAGTGCCTTCCACCTCACAGACAACATGATCCTCCACATGCTGAGATTGGACGGCCAGAAACCTGAAGATATCATGGAGCGCTCCTTCCGCCATTTCCAGAAACTTCAGGAAGTACCCGAGCTCTACACCAGTAAGTTGTTGTTGTTCCCCTTGTGTAAAAATTAAAAGAATTCCATGAGTTCATGCTCCAGAGCTGTTTTATGATAAGCACAGGCCTCTCTCAAAGGTCCTGTTTAGGGCATACTAGCCAAATGACCCGGGCAACGCCCGGGTTTTACCCGATTAAATGCTTTTAGTCAAATACTATTCGTTACAATTATAAATTGGCGCCGTGGATGTCATTCTTGTATAATATATAAATGAGTTTTAAAAATTGTAAAAATAAAAAATGCATCAGCCGGGAATCGAACCCGGGGCCGCCCGCGTGGCAGTCGAGCATTCTACCATTCTACCACTGAACCACCGAGGGTTATGAGAAATGGCCTTATTTGGGTATTTATTCCATTCACAAAGCAAACGGTGACAGAATTGATTAAGAAAGAATTGATTATGACGCTGATAACTGTATAGGGCATATAATGCAAACCAACACATCAGTAAGTACATCTAGGTTCTCTGACTCGGTAGAGCTGACTGCTACAGGCAGTGTCTCCCGGTGAGGAATAAGCAATTGCGGACCATCATCAGCATTGTTAGAAAATTCCTAAAAGCTTATGTCCATAGTTCATTTAAAATACCTTTTCCAACAGAGTTCAGTATGGGTATAAAAGGAAACAGCAATATTACAGCGGTATGGTAGGTTAAACTGACGAGACCGCTGGGAGGGTTCACCAGCCTCTCATTAATATATCATTGTAGTAAGGGGAGTAGAAGATTATTTTATTTATAAAAGAGTCATACGCATAAAAAATAGATCCGATTTCTTATAAGAAAGTTCTGTACGTTCTGTTAGCCTTGAAAACTAGAGAGCGTAAATAAAATGTCAAAAGAAACTCGCACCCCTGGAAGACCTAATTATAAAAATGTAACCACTAAAATTGACCAGTTTTAAGATATGTTCTCTGTGTGATTTCAGAGATGTCCGGACTCTCTGAGGAGAAAGACCAGCTTCCCATTCAGTCCAACACAGAGATAGATCGGTACCTTACCCTCCAGGACACTCTCTCCCAGGTAGAGGACAAGATGGCTTCTCTCCTCCTCTCCCCGGCTATCTGCCAGAGGTTCCTGGTCAAGGGTCGTGTCATCAGGGTGAGTCAGTGGTCAAATCTACAGCTATTGTAGGCTGGCCCCGTCATTATCTCTCTACTATGTCTCTCAGGGCTGTCATGTCCAATGAAGAGCCTCAGATGTCTCCATACATCACAGCAGTCGCAATGTTCTCTATCTTGGGTGTGTAAAGCTGCCGTTCTAGGGTCAATTTTCTGTAAGGCTGCGGCCATTGCTGGACATGAGAATATGTGGATAGGTGTTAGTTTCACACCAAGACAATTATTGCATGTCCTGTAGGTTTTTGTGCCCTCGGAATGTATTGACATTTCTTTGTAATGTTTCATTCTGAGTCTCATGATTTTTTTTTTCCTTCTCTCAGTGTTGCTGTTGCATATTTGACCTTTCCTTGTCTTCTGTTGGATCATCTTGGATTTTGTCAAAGCATAAGCATTAAATGCTGATATCTTCTATCTTGGATGTCTAAAGTTGCTGTTCTGGGTCCATGTCAATTTTCTGCAGGGCTAAGGCTATTGCTGAACATGAAAAAATTTGGGTAGGTGGTAGTTCGACACCAGGACAATTGTTGCATGTCCTGAAGGTTCTTGTGCCATCTGGATGTATTTGGTGTTGTAAGCTTTTAGTGAAACATGAAGTTTTACATGAAACTCAGCCAGAATTACTTAAAGCTCTTGACCTCCAAATCATTGAGGTAAATAGCTCCCTCTTTGACCTCACAATTTACACTGACGGTAGCCAATTGAAACTGGACTGTCTGGCAGTGGAATTGTTATCTATAAAGATCCTGGAAAAAATATCCCTCTCCCACCCTAGACACCTTTCAGTTTATAAATCGGAACTCTGCAATAGATACAGCTCTAAAAGACATCAACATCAACTCGCCAAGCAAAATAATAATCTACTCCGACTCAAGAGCAGCCATTTATACCCTTCAAAGCTGCTTCTCCAGTCAAGAACCTCTCCTCAAGAGCATTGCTCAGTCACAGTGCAATGACTTCCAGCTCAGGTTGGAATTCCTGGTAATGAGCTGGCAAAGGCTGGAACTCTTGGCCTACCTGAAGCCAGGGAATCTACCACCCAACTAGATGAAAGAGACCTCCTCCGTACTATCAAAACCCAATGCTTGCAGGAATGGAAATCTAATGCTGCACATGACTGGTACAGAGCAGGAGAGACAAGCACCAGTTCTGTCCTCCCAAGAGATCAACAGTCTTTGATTTCCAGACTTAAGTCTGGTGATCTACGGACAATGACTTTCCAGAATTGTTGCAAGGTTTTCCCACTATGTACTTAGTGAAATTCTCAACCTGCAACCCCAAAACACATTATTGACTGTATCGACTCATCCATTGATGAGCTCTACTCATCCCCAGCAGACACCATCAACAAGCTTTAGAAGCTTGATACCCTGATATGATTGAGTGGAGATACGAGAGAAGAAGACATTATTGACTGTATTGACTCATCCATTGATGAACTCTACTCATCCCCAGCACAGACACCATCAACAAGCTTTAGAAGCTTGATACCCTGATATGATTGAGTGGAGATAAGAAAGAAGAAGACATTATTGACTGTATCGACTCATCCATTGATGAGCTCTACTCATCCCCAGCAGACACCATCAACAAGCTTTAGAAGCTTGATACCCTGATATGATTGAGTGGAGATAAGAGAGAAGAAGACATTATTGACTGTATTGACTCATCCATTGATGAACTCTACTCATCCCCAGCAGACACCATCAACAAGCTTGATACCCTGATATGATTGAGTGGAGATAAGAGAGAAGAAGAGCTTTTACAGTACAGTCAATCAACCTCCATGACTCTCCTACTAGAAGCCACCTCTCTACAAAGGACAGTTTTCATCGCCATATAATTACCATTTTTGCTAAAAATAATAGGTCTTCTACTACTTTCTTATCTCTGCTCTGCAATTAGTGTATCAAGCCTTTAGAGCTTGAGATTTTTGATGATGTCTGCTGGGGATGAGTAGAGTTCATCAAAAGATATTTGACATCCATAATAACTTGATGAAGTAAAATGTGTCTGCTTTTGTCATTAAAACTGGGAGCACTACTCAGTAGCAGGCCACCGACTTAGCTCCAATATGAAATGTCCCTCTCTGACATGAGGAACAGATGCAATGTGCAGCCACTCCTAACATGGAGTACATCCTGTATTCCTGGATCCCTTACAGGATACTATCAGCCAGGCCAGCTGAGCCCAGGTTGTTTAGTGAGCTTGTTACTGCTCTCCCTTCTTTTTCATCCGGGCTTGGGACCGGCAAAGGCCGAGTTGAAATATTAGATAGTAGAACCAAATAAAAAAATAAGAGACAATTTAAAGAAGCCTTTTTAATCCCAAAAATTATTGTGCTACAATTAATAGAATGACAGAAAGCAAATATCAATGATATTTACAGATATGCTTTCAATTATATCTTTTAAAAAAATGAAATATTTTCACTACTAATTCTAAGAATAGTATATCTTATAGGGGTCTTAAAAATCAATTTTATTTTTATCCGCTTTCTATTCTTTTTACACATTTGATAACTACTAACTATTTGAGAACCTTCTGTGATATTTTTTCTTATTCACACAAGGTAATAAGACCAAATCTAAATAAATAGTAACATTCTGTAACAGCCTTGTTACCATCTTGTTCATTTTCTGCCATAAAGTAGAACAAACTTCATAAGATGACACTCCCACTAGAGGACACAGTTTACCTATATCGCCAAAATGACCATTTTTACCAATTATCTGCTCTACAGTAAAAGGAATACTCTCTCTAAAGGGCGCATTGACTCTTTTACTAAGGGTTGCCCTTTAGAGAGAAAAGTAACAAAAGGTTGTTGTTGTTTCTTATCCCCTCATGTAAAGATTATACAAATTTCAATTGAATGGGGTGTAGTGGTGCAGCTTTTGTTGATCATGGCACCATGATCCAGGCACACTTCGGTGAAAGTCTGACTTTGTCTATATTTTGAGGCTGTTCCTAACATGGAAGCAGATGCCTTTGCTGCCGAATTTAACATGAGTAGGTTCTGGTTATATTGTCCCTGAATAATTATTGTTAATACTGTGTTGTTTACCAAACTAAAATATTTGTCACCACTGGTTCTTATAGATTATCACTTGTAATCACATTTTGTTTTCTATAGATTTTGTTAATAAATTATTTTCAACTTTTGGAATACTTATCTTCTCTGCCGTGACAATATTTTCCCTCTACTTCCCTTATATATGGAAGGTTTTCAAGTAAAGAGGTGTATTTTGTTCCCAGGTACAAGTGAAGGACAAAGACTTTGGCTGGTGCTTCTGCCTTAGTTCCAACAAGGCAGCTCCCAAACAGAAGCGGCCGTCCAGGGATAAGGTAAGGGAGGATTATCCATTCATCCAATTTATTTACTTGATCAATACTTTAGACATTCTGATGTATAAGATGTTGTTGTTATTGTTTCTTATCCCCTTGTGTAAAGATCACACGAATTCCATTAGTTCATACTCCTCGAACTACCAACTCCACTGTTGTTGTTTCTTATTCCCTTGTGTAAAGATTATATGAATTTCATGAGTTCATGCTCCTCAAGCTGTTTGATGATAAGCAGCAGCCTCTCCTAAAGATCCTGTTTAGTGCATCTAATACAAGTCAATATGTGTTTTTGAGCTGCAGGTTCCAAGATAATGTTTAAGATGGAAACATCTGACTTTCAGGGATAAATTAAGCAAAAGGCATCATCTCTCTTGATATTGAACAACTAAAAGTTGTTGTTTTCATGTCTAATGAAGAGCCTCAGATGTCTCCATACATCTCTATCACAGCAGTTGCAATGTCCTCTATCTTGAGTAGAAGATATTGGTTTTGCTCTTCATTGGAAAATGGGTGCCGTTACCATGTTAGTCACCTTAGACTAGAATTTGGTCGAATATTCCAAGGGCCCTGTAGAAGTGGTGTGGTTGGACTTCTCCCCCCCTCCCCAAAAAAAAAGTTGCTAAAAGTAAAAGTTGCTGATATCTTGTGCCATCTATCGGAACACTAATCAATTTTTATTTATTCCAGATTCTCAGCCAAATTCCCATTCTTGAATAATCAAGAAAAGCTAACCACGTACGTGTTTCGGGCTGTTGGCTCACATTAGCATGGTGCAAGCTGTACCTCAACGGCCAAATAAACTGGTCATTCAGGCATCCTGAAAAGTCATGAAAAAAGTATTTAAGGCCAGAAGTGTGTG